AGGTCAAGAAAACGTGGATCTATACACCCAATCCCCCATAAGTCTTCATGGTGCACTGCTTAATTAGTTAAGCATAAGGATAACTTTTCTTTTTTACTGGCTCCTGTGAAATTAATGAAACGTTCCATAAATGAAGGAAAATTTGAGTCGCTATTCATATCATAAGATTTGAGGAAACACTGTCATCACCATCTTCACCACCACCACCATCATAACTTCCTACATCAGGCTAATTGCCTGTTCCAGAAACTAGCTCCAATTTTTAATTTGAGGCTTATCAGTACGACAAATTTCAACTCTAGCCGCGTCATGAAATCTGTGCAAAAATCTGTGTTTCTGAGTTCACAAGATGGCTGTTCGGGTCGATAGTATTGACAGCAATCAGCACTGTTGAAAAATGAATATACTAATATACGAAAATAATATGTAGATAACTGAGGAGGCCAATGGTTTCCCGGAAGCAAATCGGAAATACTTTTTTTTTGTACTTCAATTAAGTAAAAAAGGGGTAGATTTACGGGTTCACTACGCTGTTCAGTGTAATCCCCAGTTCAACTTTTGAACCAGCTGACCGATTTCCATGAAGTTTGTTATGAACATGTGCCACTAAAAGACACCACAATGTGGTACTTCAGTTTCCTAAATCAGTAATAACACCGTGGTTGATGCAAGACCTTGAGGATTCGGTAGTTATACCGCCGATAATTAAACGAGGTTCCTGAATTTATGTGTGGTAGTGAATCTTTGAAAATTCTCTAAGGTAACATTTTTGTAGTATGTAAAGCAACAAAATGGCGGCACCCTCACCGTTATCATCAAAAGTAGTAGTTTCGTCAGTCAGTAACAGCAACATTAGATTTATCACATGGTTAAAAATAGTAGTATCAATGACATTATTATCAAGAGGAGCAATATCATTATCAACATGATTGATCTTATTAAAATCACCTTTGGAACCAATATCAGCAAAACCATCATCTTCATCATCACCACCACCATCATCATCATTGTCAGCAACTGCTCTCTCAGTAACATTGAAAAACGAATTACAATATGTAACTTCAACAGAGAGAGAGAGAGAGAGAGATGGGGAGGGAGAGAAATGTAAAAATAAATATTAAAAAAGTATCATCAGTTTCTTTAGTACAAAAATTTTTATTTGGAACATACTTACTCCTACATTCTTTGGCATTGTAAAACTGACCAACCAGCTCTAATAATTCATAAGTATAATTAACAGTAGGTATAATAAATTTGTGGAAAGTTAAATAATTTAATAATGATTAAATATATAATCAGATTTCACTGCTATATTTTTAGGAGTCATCTTACGTACATGAGATATAACCAACAATCTTGGCAGCAGGTTGGTCTAATTGAAACACCCTAATGGCTTGTATTTATACAATAATCACATATTTTCTATGTCATTAATAAAACTATAATTGCGTAATATCTGTCAGTTATAAATAACTTCTTCAAAATACTTCTCTTATATTGTGACCTCAGTCTAAACTGCATCTTGTCTTAAACTGTGACCTCATTCTAAACTGCATCTTGTATCTTATTTTAAATTTGAATTTTTTATTTTATATTGTGTGTTCAGTTTAACCTTCTAAACCCCATTTTGTACATCATACATTGTTCTCAGTCTAAACTGTATCTTTCATCTTATATTGTGACTCAATCTAACTTACATTGTGTACCTTATACACTGATCTCAGTCTCAGCTGCATCTTGTGTCTTATACTGTGACCTCAGTCTAAGCTGCGTTTGGTGACCTCAGTTAAAAGAGTTTTCCCATTGTTTCTGGAAGAAGGTTAGAATGGCTGTGCCTTTCACTTTCACTGGAGTGCCAGAAAAATTATCAAACTGATTTAAGGTAATGGTTGACAGTAAATTAAAGCAAACGCTATGAACGGTTAGTTGGCACAATCTGTACATCTATTTTATTGTCAATTAGAGTTGTCATTTCTCTTTCTTCTTCTTTACTGCTTGAAGTATGCTGACATTTCTCTTGCCCACAAGTCTCACAGAAATTAAAGTCTGACTTCACTGATTTGCGAAGCTTCTGAAATCCAAAATTAAATTCAGTTATTCACTGAAAATTATTTTACACTTTTATGATTGAATTAAAATTCAGTTTTGCAGAATTTTTCCACTTTTGATATCTAAAATTGTGGCTTAGAAGAGCTCAAAAATTTCTTTCTTCTGTTACATAGCCTTTGGTAAAAGAATCTTTTAACACATTTCTTTAAAATTAATTTTAATAGCATCCACTTTTTTCACCTAGGAACCCGTTTCCTAATGCCCCATTAAGAAAAGTACTGCACCTTATTCAAAGAGCAAGAGTGCTGGAGGGTCAAATCTTTGAAAAATGATGCACAATAGTGTGGAGATGGTGGTACAAGGGTTATTTAATGTCTACCACTTTAATCTATTTCATTTTGTGTCCCTTATTAAAGCTATAGGTATATCAGACCACCTGACATTCCTTGTTTCACCTCCCTTTACAGAGTCAGTAGATGGAGAATTAAGTAATGTTGAAGATCTTTGTTTTATGATTTTCAGTAGTCATCATTTATCCTTTAAACACCGGACTTCTGAAATGGTGGTAAGCTTGAGCGGGCTGGAGTTTATTTAAACGCCCACTGCTGGTGTGCATTTAAATGCCCGTTGCTACTCTGTGTTTAAATGTCCATTCCTGTTAGGGCACTTAAATAATTTTAAGCACTGTGTTTAAAAATGCTGTATCTAACTCAATTTTTATGATAAATGGATGGAATTAACTTTGTTTGTATCAGCAAAGGACATAGTGTCGCATATTGTAACGGAAGATTTGAACATTTTTATACAAAGAGTTGTACTCTATTTTAAATTTTTTTCCTTTAATTTTGATGCGTACTGCAAAAATAGTTTCCCAGTTCTTCACAGAGTTGTTCTGCATTATAAATTCATTTCTGTTTGTAACACTTGACAAATTTTAGCAGTCCCTGGTGTCATAAAACAGATGAAGCAATAAAATCATTTGGTCTTCTGCTAGCACTGCTTACACTCTTCGGATTTTCGTATCTTTTGACTGAAAGACAGAAGAATGGAAGAATGGCTATTCAAGAGAAAGCTAGAGGGGTTCCTTCTTCAGTGCTAAGACCTATCATTATAGTTGCAAGGGATTATTGACCTTTCTAGGGTCGTGAACAAACAGTTGCATCGTGGCTGAGATACAGAGTGTGATCTATTTTCTGTGTGTTCATAGTGAAAACGAATACTGTAGTTTCATTTCAGTCTATATATACATCAATCAGATAATAACAAAAAGTTATGTACATCGAATTTTACTATATATATTTTAACTCATTAATCTGCAGAATCTGCAATAAAAGTACTGGCTCTTGGATGAGTTTAGGCATAACTCATATGTATATTCTTTTTTGCTGTTGTTCACTTATGTATCATTTTAATTCCTCTATTATGGTTTTACTCAAGTATGTCTGGTAATTACTACATTTAAAAATATATATTTAGGACTGTGCATGCACTTCTACTAGCGATGTGCGCGCGCTTCCACTAGCAGAGTTTAAATGCCTGACTGGCCAAAACGGGGTACTTTGGCCAAGACGACCATATCATCACTAGCCCGATTGGGTCACTTCAGCCATTAAAGGTTACTACACCTCTGCTATATTCAAAGACCCTTAGACTTTGCTACATATGGGGAAATATGTAAATTTCATTAATAAAATGTCATTTTATGCAGCCTGCTTTTACAGTTATGACAACTCTCTTCATGCCAGTTTTTACTGAAGAGATTTTCTACACCAAGCCATTCTCTAAACTCCTTCTGTGGTATGTAGTATGTTCTCAAAAGAATTGTATAATATGGATTCTTGCTAAGTCTATCCAATTTTATATACTGAAAAAAATAGAATAACACTGTTGTTGCTTGGAGTTCATTTGACGTAACATGATTTACAGAACATCGCTCTTCTGTATCCATTTTAATTACTTGTCTTTTTACACGGTATGCTTGTACTGTTGAACCATCATGGATATAGAATACATTCATTTTTTAAATAGACTGGACACCCCTAAATATTGCCTCATCATGATATAATGTTTTTGTCATATATAGCACAGTAAAATAGGGGAAAATTAGAGTACTATGCCACAATTATCATACTATTATTCTGGGCATAACACCGTTCAAATTAACTATACTCACCATGGTAGGATACAGTGAACTTAAAAGTTTAAGGGTTAATGCAGCATTCTGAACATAAGCAAATAAAATTATTATAATACTATAATGTCACTTGTGTGTTAGTTAGTAGATTAAGATCATATACCGGAACTCCTCTATTCAAGAGCTGACTTATTTGAATCACAGTCTCAATACCAGAGGTCTTGGCAGAAATATTCCAATTTTATATGTTTGCATATACTTTGCATTCTTTTACAAGTTATAAAGCATCGCAGTGACATGTAGTGAATAAAAAAATAATTAAATATTTTCATTAATTATAAGTTTGGCATATTTCACAATTTGAAATATTTCAAGGATTCCTCTGTAGTCCTCCTCCAGACAAATCATGATAGCAATTGAAAAAGGCACCATTCGCTTTTCACACCTTCCTTTTCAGTAATAACATGTGAATGGATCAGTTATGAAGTCTACTGCAAAAACTAGAAGCAATTCTATCTAAACTAGCAAGGTATGTATTGTTTAACTTACGTCAAGCAAGGAATTTCCCTCAGTTCGCAGAATAACAACAGTTGCCTGTGCTGGAATACATATAAGGGACAGTGAAGCAATGATCCATCCTAAAGTTTCTGCCCAAATTGGATATTTATAAGTGCCATTGTTGTATGTTGGAGGTGTGTAGTCAATGAGGCTAAACACCCAGACAGCCTGAAAAGAAGCATTTCATCAGTGTATAAAGTATTCAAATTGCCATTTCAAATGTGTGTGCATGTGGTGTGTGTGTGTGTGTGTGTGTGTGTGCGCATGTTTATAACAATTGTCTATAATTATAAGTAAATTCTCAGACAAGTGATTAAACTGGGATAGCTGTCACAGCAAAATTCTGAAAAACATTACTCACTGAAATATTTTACAAAATTTTCACTTCTGCATTTTTACAGCATAAAGAAGTAGAAATATTCAGAATTTCTTTAGTTCACTTTCCATTCATGAAGTTCCTGATCTTTCTGCTTCCATGGCTGTTGGCAGTGGGGTAGGCAAGGCATCCACCCCCATGAATTAAAAAGATCAAAATTGAAAAACAAATAAAATATTCCAAATATTCACACCAGAAATTTAAAAAAAAAATCTAAAAATTACTGTTTCATTCTGAATAATCTAGGACTACAAAAATAGACTTAAAAGCTCAAACACAAGGTTGTAGGAGAATTTTCTGGCTCTCTCCTCCCTCCTGGAAAGAATCTTGGGGGTGCCCATGTATAAGTCCTCTTCTTCTGAGCTTTTAATCAATCTTCATGAAATGGGACATGAAGAACATAGCAGTAAGTGATACACTGATTCATAACTCTCAGCTCCCAACAGTAAAATAGCAGCTATGAGAGGAGAGCAAAGCAGAGTTATTCAATCTAGGATTATAAATTTCATGATCTTTTCAAAATGTAATTTGTAATTAATAACTGAAGAACTCTTTTAGTTAAAAGTTGAATTTTATGTGAATTATAATTATATCTTAATATTTTATTTGAACCTTTACAGCACAACTGTAGTAACAGAAAAAAGATGAGAAAGTTTTAGGCATTTAGAGCTTATATCAGGTAATTCAGTATGAAGATAGGTCACTAGGGAAACAGTTTAATTTTTAAGTTTGCTTAGAGTCTAGAGAATATTGTAATGAAAGTACATTGTAGTTCTTCAAATATTTTCATGTTTATAGTTATTTTTTCTCACCCTAAAATTTTTCTGTTATTGTGTACATATCAAGTTAGCCACAAAAGTCTTATGTGTTACCATATGGAATAATTCAACAAGACATCAACAGATTCTATAAACATTTTGCAATCAAAGAGAAGGTTCTCATATATCAGTGTCACATAAGAGGTATTTCCAGGTTATGCACAGTGTGTATAAACTATGTGTTTAATTGTGGAGTTACAGCCATCTGTTCACATGTTTCATCTTAAAACTTACTTACTTACTTGGTTTTGACCAAATTTAATACTCAGGGCCCTATAAAAGTTTATCAGGAAAATTTAATTTTGATTTGTATAGGTAAAATATACCTCAACCTTTAAATATCAGACATTATTTTACAAAACAAATTGCCATCATAAAAATAATTGGTAACTCAAACTAGAGACTCCAATAAAATCTACAGCATTCATCTCAAATATTTCCTGATAACAGGTATATTTAAAAAATACAAGGAAAAATGATTTATGACTATGCAGACAGACATTACATATATATCTCTAAACAGATGTCCATGTGCAGTATTTCTTTCTTGTGCCAAAAATTGTGAAGATAGCATTTGGAAAATATGTGCTCTTCAATAGAGTTCACCTTTCATTCTATTATTTATTTCTCTGTATATGTGACAAAAGAAAAATTACCATGAGCAAAGCTGGAGCTGCAACCCACCAACAGAACCGGATGTAAGGAGAAGGTAATCTTCCAGTCATCTCTAGAACATTATTGGCGAGCCTATGGCCACCATAGAACCATGAGATGGCAATCACCTCAAAGAAAGCCAGGTACATTATTGAAATGGAAGCAGCAAAGTGATCAACTAGTTGGAAGAAGTAGATTCCACCCTGCAATGAATGAGGGTAATGAAAACATTCTTCAGTTCTTGGTTAGTTTCAGGCTTTAAATGCCGGATTAAATATAGGATGGATTATAAAACTATTTTATTCTCAATACCACTACTTATGACGTTTTCTGAGCTCTGCACACTCAATAAAGTGAAGGAAGGTAGGTGGCTACTTTATTCACACGTAACAGTGATGATAAACTTGTGACGATATATAGCTCAACATAGGTTTTAGCAAACTTGGGGAATTTGTTATTTCCCACGACTACAAATTCTCAACCTACCTACAGGCAGGAAATGGAGAACACATGCAGAAATAACTGTTCTGGATCTAATCACCCTTATGCCAAAGACTTCTGGCTACAGAGCTCATTCTTTTTCTTCTGCATTATATCCTAACATTCATTCTAATGTAAAGTACTTGTAAAATTCTTTGGATATATATCTTACATCACTTCAAATGTTCTTCACCCCACCACGCCATGCATGTACTTGGTGAAATGTGCAGTGTGTTTTAATTAGATATAAGCTTCTTCACAGATCCTCAGTCCGCAAACATTTTCATGTTGGCAAGAATGGAATCCTTATCAATCATACACTGTATGTATGTTTGTATGTATGTATGTATAATGTCTGGAACTTACATATAGAATTTTTGTCTCACATTCCTGATGGAGGAATTCTCTTTCAGTATGGTAAAAATACGGAAGCCATTGTTTTCCATTATGTGTACATACTTGTATATAAGTTGCTTTATATATTGTACATTGATACGTTATTATTACCAGGTCCTCAAAAAAGATGTTAATGAGTAAATATTTAGTACTTACCTCTGTTATATGTGGCAATCCAAAAAGAAATGAAATTATAACCACAATCAAGACCAACATCTCATGGCACATAAGATGCTTTTTAATTAGCTTTGGAAATCCATCCTGAATGGAAGTGACCACAACTTCTACTATGGCAAACTAAAAATAAAACATGAACATTTCTGTAGTAAAAATGACCATGATGATGCACTTTCACAGGGTAGTAAAAATGACCATGATGATGCACTTTCACAGGGTATCTTATATTGTCCTCTTGTTTGTTTGGATCCCCTGAGTGCAAAAATATAATATAATAAACATACTCAATTATGGAATAAGCCAAAAAGTAAAGATGCCCATGTGCTTAACTGGAGGCATATAAAGGAGTGGATATATAGATCCATATTTTGTTGGCCTCGGCATTAGTTGTATGTGAGTGGTTAGCTTCACGACCCTGCTGATTTACCCCCTAGGAAAGAACCCCTGGCACGTTTTGGATAGGAGGCTGAGTGAGCCCCAGAACTGGCCTGGATGTTATTGAGAGGAGAAAATTCTTGATATTACAGGGAATCAAACTTTGACCTCTTGGTCTTCCAGCCCGTAGCCAGTCACTATACCGACTGCACTACCCCGGCTCCCATGCAGTAAGCTAGATGATTTAATTTGTACCCAGATTCTTTGCAGATGCAATATCGGCATTATAAAAGTGGTACCTAAAACAGGCTGGAATCAAAGCTTGTGTACAAACATATGATTTCTTCACCACCAACTTGAAACAATTTCAATGTATCTAAATATCTTTTTCAACAGTGCAACTAACCTGACTATTGAGACCAAGACATAAGAGCATGAAGAAGAAAAGAACAGCCCACAACTGAGGTGCAGGCATTTTGGCCATTGCTTGAGGATAAACCACAAATATTAATCCAGGACCTGTGAAGAAAGCTCATATTACTTCATTTGTTTAACTCTTTTTTACAGTAAAGTTGTTTATCACCACTATCATAAATTTAAACAAATTGTATTATACTGTGAAAGAATAATGCTTAAATTTTCCTGGGAAATTTTGAAATTCGGTCTTCATATGCGTCAGAATAATGCATTATGATAAGTTGCAGCAATGTGCACAGGATATTATAAATAGAACATGTTGAATGATGTTTTCAGTATTTTTTTATGTTCAGATATCCAAGGCAAACAAATATGTAACTAGAAATGAGAAATGCAGTGTACATGGCTACATACAGTAATATTTCCTACTCACCATCTGATACGACACTTTCAATCGGTGTTCCCTGTTCTGAAGCAATGTTGCCAATAGTGGCAAATGCAAAGATTCCTACTAATATACTGGTAAACCCGTTTATTGTAGATACTGCCAGAGTGTCAAACAAGATTTGGTTGTTGAACCGGTTGTAACTGGAAAATGACATCACAGATCCAAAGGCAATTCCAAGAGAATTGAAGTTTTGAGCTGCTGCATTCACCCACACCTTTAATTTGAGATAAATAAAAATTATCTTCATAATCATAATAAAGCGGCTTTGTGCAACATGCGTTTTAAAAGCAAAATCTATCCATTTTTTCACAGTATTCAGGAGTTATTCAAATATCCATTCTTCACCATCGGAATTAATATAACTGAATTATCAAGTATTCCTAGCCAAACCTTTCTTCCACAATCAACAGTAATTCTTACCTCCATTAAGTTAACCACATTCTCAGAAAAGGATCAAATTATTACATTTCCACTTTTTTCATACAAGACATCTCACCAAAACCTTCTAATTTTCGTTCTTAACAGATTTAACCACAGTGAAGCCAACAAGTAAATTAATTCCCCTTTCATCCCATACACATAAGCTAAAACACATTAATATAATATTTTTCCACCGAAGTACTTAATTCTTCAACACCTTAATTTATTTAACCTTTCATTAGAACTGCTAAAATAATTTTAACAATTGCATACTGCCGGTTCATTAATACAAAACAGTACTCATCTGTTATAACTATTATTTATGGATTTGATCCTGAAGGAATATATTGTACATACAAATAATGTGTTCTTTCATTCCAGCTCAATACTTACTTCTCTAAGCCTGCTGTGTGAGAATGTATATATGTGTATAATATAAATAAAGGGAAAACAGAAAAGTAAATCTAAGTACTAGGTCCCACTGTAACTTTGGTACACATATTCTGAATACTGTGAGCTACTTATTTAACCACAAACTTCCACGATTTAAGAAATGAATAGTCACCTAAATGTTGACCTTGAGAAATGTCCCAAATAAAAATTTTATATTCATGGTACCTAAGGATGAGTTATTTCAAGTGGCCACATAGTGACTAACGAGGGCACCAAGAGATTTGACATGGCTGACATGACCAAATGATCTATTTAGGAGAGAAAATTAAATATAAGCTAAATGGACTTTAGCAGTAGACTTAATAACAATAATAAATATCTGGAGATGGCAGAATAATGATATACTATATTAATGAATTTTAGTACAAACGCATGTTTAAATTTTACTCTATATTGGGGAGACAGCAGCTGGAATGACAATGAAAGTGACAGAAAATATGAATTCTGTAAAATGCACTGTTTGAATCAGATACTATTTATGAGGATATCTAAAAATGCTGAACCAAACTATAAACGAAGCTCAAAAACTCCTAACTGGCATATAATTTCACTGTTTACTTGTTGATTTTCTTTGTGTTGTGCTTATATATCACTTAACAGCCATATTGGATGAGAAGAAGCTTTTTATTATAATACAAAACAAGAACAAATGAATATAGATCATTATTACCAACTTGAACATTTTTACATTACTAGGTTCTCAACATTACTTACCTTAGAATCCCCAAGAAGTTCCCACTGTGGTTTGAAGAAGTATTTGAGACCCACATCTGACCCATCCAGGGTAAGAGAATGTGCAAGAAATGCTAGTATGAGCAAGTATGGGAATGTTGCTGTAAAGTAGAGGACTTTTCCAGAGGATTTAACACTCTTCCATATTGAGAAATAGACAAGAATCCATGCTAAGATGAGACATGCTGCCAGTTCCCAACGAATCACTCCCAGGTTGTCAATTCCTTCACTGACCTGCAACACCTTGCCACTGAAAGGAAAGATATAATTGTCAACATTATTGTTTCTCATTTCACTTCCACGAAAGACTTCTATTAGTATCACATAATGACTATATACAGTTTTGAATAAGCATTAAGTGCAGAATCTATACAGAGTTCAATGCTCCTGAAAGTAAAGAGTTTTTTCATATGCAATTCACGATTTTTTATAATCAATAAAGAAACTTTCAATGAGAGACATAACCACAAGAAAATAAATGCATTTAAAATATTCTGAAACAAAACTGTTTTAGAATGTAACAATATGGCACTAAATCATATGGAAGTTTTCCAGTACCATTAAAGATGGTTCCATCAGACTTTAATAGAAGAGGAAGTCTATACTTAAATGGAAAGTCTAGGTTATGCTGGTATAGGATTAAAATTTATATCAGTTCTGGCCATTCAACTAAAGGACATTAATAAAGAGTTATTTTCTCATATTAGGGTAAATTTACTGTAATAGATAATATTTAATTCTGTGGTTAATAGGTTATTTAATAACACTATCAAATGCAGAGGTTAATCAGCTTTGAATGAGATGAGAGACTGATATATGCTGGTGAACTGAAAGTCTGGGCATATTTCAAGCTACAACCCCGAATTTCCCTGGAGAGACTAATATCATAAAATGTCTTAGTTAGGACACCAAAGCCCTTGACATCAGCTAAGCTTCAAAGTGATGCCTCCCATACCATCCACTTTTTGGTCTGAACTAAACTGTTTGGTAACAATGATGTTAACGAATTATTTTATTAGACTAAACATAGTAAAATTATTACAAAATTACTCGCTTTACAAGCAGCCCAAAAAAAAAATTCGGCCAGGAATAAAGAATACCATGTTTTTTGTGAAGCAAAGGCACATCACACATAACATGAACAACGAAACAGTTTAGCCTCTCTTCTAATTCTTATTTGTAAAAATTATTTTAAGATGGATGGTTCATTTACAGTTGAATTGCTTGGTACAGTTTTAGAGCACAGACGATATAATTAATATCAAAATATGGTATTCAAGAAAGTCTAATATTATGTAATGTCTTAATAACAAATGTGGTACTAAGAGGAGCCTGAAGCATCCTGGAACATGTGATATATTTTCTTATGCAGGACCTGAACCAGCCAAGTTCAAAGGACACTACAACATATAAATCCCTTAGGAAATTTTAGCACTACTTCCTTCCAGATATGAACTAACTCCACAGAGTAAAGTCATTCTTGAAAAACTAATAGACAATCAGTTAGTCAAGAAATTTTTCCTTCTACTTAACTTTACAAGAGCTCACCAATGATCTCCGTCCTATGCCAGATGAATTCAGTCCACATCCCCACTCATATTTCTTTAAAGTACATTTTAATTTCACCCTCCTATTTGTGCTAGGGTACTCCAAGTTATCGCTTCCCCACAGATTTTGTGACTAAAATTGTGTTTGTATTTCTCATCTCTCCAAGTTTGTTGCATACTCTTCTCATTCCATTCTTTTCGGTTAAATCACTCTATTAATATTAATTATGAGTACAAATTATGAAGGTTCTCATTACACAATTCTCAGTCATCTGGTTCCTTCCATTTGGTTGGGTCCAAATATTTTCTTTTCAACATTTTGACATATAAATTTCTAAGGATATATTGCAGAAGTACATAGTTTTATTATAATATGACTGATTTATTCAAGGTAAAATTAAAATACTCAGCCATCTCATTCATTCTGTTATTTTATGTTCTCACAGGAGGTGTAAGTTCTTCAGTGAAATAATACACTATGCTAACAAGGTGTTTAAATTCGTTTGGAATGTAAATACCTTAAAATTATCAGCTGAATAATTCTTTTGGAGATTAAATACAAGGCTGTTTGTATGTAATTTGTTATTGTGACTACTATTAGGAAGATGCATATAAAAACTCCATGCAATCTTCTTCTTCCCTCTATTAAATATCAAGTGCACACTGAAAAATTATAACACAGCAAGAAGCAGAAAGGCTAAAACCAAAAAATACAATTTACAGCTAAAACATATAAAATAAGCACTATTCAGGCAGTTATAATACTACAACTAAATCTGTAATGACTTTTTACCTCTCTTATCCAATAATCCATCATCTGGAAAATCATGGCTGTAGGATAGCTAGAGAAGAAACATAATGATTAAAATGTTCACTGTAATTTTCAAAGTTCAAATGACGTTCTTGCTTGGAAGCCTTCTGTGCAGTTTTTGGTACATATTTATTGTTTCAAATTTATAATATACATACAGTAAAAATGAATTTTCAACTCATATTTTCTTAAACCAGTTGCTACAATGGCTGGGGGAAATACACATTCTTTGCAGAAAGTTCATAAAATGCATGCAATGTGAAAAGGTTGCGCGTTTCAACCCCAAACACTGTATGCATTCAAGCAGTTTCGTGTATGTATTTTAAACAACTCTTGCAAATGACAGGTACGAAGAGATAAGAAAATGTATGTGATGGTTACTAGTTTCTAATGAGTACTGCACGATTTATGTTGTTCTCCTTTTGAGCAAATATTGATAATATGCACATTAATAATGTTATGAATAATACAGCTTTCAGAGTACATAAGAGCGATATCACAGAGGGCTGCACTTGGGTTATCATTTTGAAGGGGATTTAAGAATGAATACCAACAATTATTAATTTAATTATTCAGATCCATGCAACATTTACACTACTTACATACATTTGAAACTCGCCCACAAGTTTTTTTTTCTAGCTAACTGCTACAGTTTTAAAAAAAAACAATTTCCCTGCTTTGCAACCTTTTAATTGATTTGTTTTCATCAGATTGTTGTTGCTATTAGAAGTAAATAAAATACTAAACTGAATTATTTCTATGATTCAGCTTATAATTTTATCATACAGTAATATTTGGAACGGTCTCTTCTCTATCAAGTGACTCTCTTCTTCTCTCTCTCTTCCTCCCCCTCACACTATTTTTCACACACACACACACACACGCGCGCACGCACGCACACACGCGCACGCACGCGCGCACGCACGCACGCACATGCACGCACGCACGCACAAACCCGCGCTCGTGCTTATATAGTTATTTAAAATTTAAAAACCTATGTTATTTTCCGGGGTATTAATTTGATACAGTTACTACTCTTTATTTCATTTGTTTGTTGGTTTGCTAAAATTTCTCAAAACAACGATGCCTGTGTTACAGCTTTCTAACTAACAAACCTACCAATCAACTAACTGACTAACTAAGTAAATAAGTATCCAACCAACAAAGAAACCAAGTAACCAACCAACCAACCAACTGCATACATGGAGCAGAGTCCTTCTTCAGAAGTAGCAGTCACTCAACTAGTCAATAAAATCAACTGCATCATAGAATCTGATGGTTAATTTTTATATTTGCAAGGGAATGCCACTGTCCATAGCAGTGTTGAACAGTTCTGTCCATAATGCACAGTTTATTTTCTCTACATTGGAGTGATGCTGTCCATTAAAAGTCAAAGGTTAATGCTCAAGTCACTGTGAAACAAAAGAGTACTTGATAAATCTATCATGTGGAATGGGCTTTTCTGTGATGTTTAGGTTTTGTAGTCATAGTAGTGACTTGTAACTTACTCATAAAATTCTTCTGAAGGTGTTCTGGACTCAAGTGGTTTTGTTAAGTTTAAAGCTCTTGTTGTCCAGCACTTCTGAGTATTCCAGCGGTTTGAACATGAACTCCAAGGAGCATCAGATTTAAATGCCGTGAAGAAATAATAGATGGCATACGCTATAATCACATTGTAGTATGTTGACATTATAAAAGAAATAACAACACTGGCCAAACCAGCACCTGTAAATGAAGTCATAAAAATGCGAGTGGGTTAGGATATTTAAAAATAAGGATATGGTATACTATCATATTATATTTATTATACAGTACAAATCAGTAATGTTATGCTGATGATAATGAAATTAATCAGATATATAAAATAATGCTCCGTGGTCCTTTACATAAATAAAGCAAAGTTATTATAATTCATACACTTAACTCTTTATCCTTTACATTCAGTCACTGATCCTCACTGTTGAAAATTTATTATGATCTTACTTTGTACATAGATAGAAAAGACTGTAATTTTTTAAGCTGGAAACATACTACTGTGTCCCTGGTTGGAATGTCTTAACCTAAAATACCTTTGAACAGTGGACAGATCTGAGCAAGTGCACCAATAGGTCCTCTTCTTGTGAACTGACCTACAGCAAGCTCCATATACAGTAATGGAATTCCACATATGACGAGAATGAGGAAATATGGCACCAAAAATACACCTGAAGCAGAAGAATAATTTTAGTCACAAATTATTGACATTATCGCTTTGGGCATGTGGTCTGGACGTTAACATTGTAATATGATATGTACACCTAAAATTAATCACACTACAAAACTGGAATATATAGGATTTCATTAAATGATTGTCAAGTGACAAGATGTACTACCACAGTCAATAAGTTCGTGGAATGGCGGCAAAGTGTCGTACGGGAATTTACTGACAATATGTTTTAGCAGTGTTTTCGACCGCCATATCAACGTTGGCAGACTTGCATAGAGGTCAACGGCAACTATTTTGAGGGTCGATGTGGATCTGCGTAAGTGTATGTGAATACCTTGTAATATGATGCGATAAAACCACTTTCCACGAACTTAATGACTCTACCACGTATATGCATGTTTTAGGTGAGAAATATCCCATACTGAACTCAGCATTGTTCTACAGTGCATCAAAAACATTATTACATTGTATGAGATTTCCATGCCTACATGAGATCTGAGTTTTCACAATGGTGGACATATAGATTGTGATTTTCTGATATAACCTGAAGACGGAGGCAGCAGGTTCCTCTGAGGTGTTGTTAACCACCTACCAGACAACATAATGTCTGAACCCACACTTTAAATCTACATACCTTTTTAATTGTAGGAAATTAAATAAAACATGAATTTCTCTAGATTACTTAAAGGCAAAGTTGACCTTGTGCTTAAGCACTAAGCCATGAAGACATATTGGGGAGTAGAGGTATAGCTCCACCTATTTTGACCTTTGCACTAGATGGAGGTGAGTCGTCAGCTTCATGCTCCTGCCACTTTACTGCTGGGGAAAGAGCCCCTGCTACCCATTGCATAGAACGACTGAGTGGGCCACAGTTTCGGTCTGGACGCTATGGAGGAGAGAAAATCATTTAGTGTCTGGAATTGAACCTTAACTGACCAGCCCATAGTCTGTTGCTATACTGACTCCAGTCTTTACTAGATCACTGCAAACTCTAATTTATTAGATGTCTGAAAACAAATTAATTAAATAAAATAAGATTTGAAAATGATAAACATTTTATATATTAGCATATTTCTGATATTGGAGACTAGTTTGGAGTAAGAAGGAAACGAGTGAGCTCACTTCCAGTGCTTGGAATGATAGTAATTGTGCAAGTTGTACATGGCGTAATTTAACACTTCTTAATTCGTTTTGATCCTACTTTCTTTCATTTGAAAAAATAAAAGTAGACTTAGATCAGCTTGCTGTCATGCATATGTGCGTGTGTCTATATATATCCCCCCACTAACAAATCTGAACGCCTGAACCGATCTTTATGGGCCACCTGGGGCCATCTCTATGGCTCACTTTATAAATCCTCTCTGTCTGTAATAGAAACACTAAAGCCTCTAAAATTGTTGAGGTAAGAACGACAATATTACATTAATGCCTGAACTGATCATCTGGGCACCATCATTGTCATCAACTTAATGCTGATGACAATGATGGTGCCCAGATCATCAGACTTTACGATCTGTTCCTATCCTTTATAAGACAGGTTAATCTCCCAGAGCAACTTCAGGATTCCAATTGATCTTAAGTCTCCTAGATGTACAGTGAATTAAATGCTTTGAAATACAATCTAATTAATTATATCATTCTGAATTCTGTTATTTAAACTGAATATACTTAGTTTGTTTCTATTGCTTTTCTGGCAGGATTAGAAGTTTAGCCTTCAACTCTGCATGAAGACAGTCTCATTGTTAGAGCAACTTACTCCACTCTATGCCTTCAAGCAGTAACTATCGGACACAGATAAAGCAATGAAGTCCTTTATTACATTTATCACAGAATCCAATTTGGATCAAGCGGTAACGCTTTTGACTCATATTCGACAAGTAGTCGATTCGAATCTTGACCGCAATGCTCACTTTCTTGATTGAGGGTTTTCATGGTTTTCTCAGTGTCTCCAGGCAAATGCAAAATAGTATCTCTAATTAGGGTAAGACAGTTCCTGTCACATCTTCCAAAATCATTACTCACTTACTATCCTCCTATCATTTGATGACACAGTGTGAGATACTGATAGTGCCGCTAAATAAACCACAAATTAATTTATAAAAATTATATGGGTCAGATTAATTCTAAATGAGAACAGGATAGAGAGGCTAATTTGTCAAGGTAGAAGACAAATATATGTTCCGTATTTCTTACTTCGTAACTGCAGATTATTACTATCTACCGCCATAAAATTCCTTACCTCGCTTTGTAAATATCTCAGCAATTCTCATGCAGTTACTAATTACAGACCCATGCGGGGATTGTTTAGTGAAGTGTTGCTTTTATGTAAAGATTCTATTAACACACCCTACGTCATTAACATGCAAATGCTCTTTCTGATTATGTCTCAGTAGTTCTAAAGTCATTGTTAATAACAATATAGGGGTTATTGCCTGCAGACCTAAGTTCAGTCTTCATTTCTGTCGAGATACCAATCCAGTTCAGCTAGCTGGCTCACAAAAATGAAGGAATACTTGATGCCATTACGTGAAAGGCAAATGGGGGGCAGAATTTACTCTAAGCACATTTTCAACTTCAGCATTTGGCAAATCTCTTCCTTCCGACTGCCTTTGCATACATAGGAGAGAGAGAGAGACAGACAGAGAGAAGACAGTTGGTGCAAAATAAAGAATTTAACACATTCTCCAACTGATTTTTTCAGAGTTATGTTTTTAATTAATTAATAATTTTCTTATTTTTTTCTGCAAAGTGTAACAGAAACGTACATAAGAGCCAGAAATATTCTACAAAATAAGTTTAGGATCCAAAGACATTTTGATACCCATTATGGAAGAGAATTTGAGGTTCTAACAACGGTGGTTAAAAATATGTCTTCTGAGATATACTGCTGTGTAGTCTTTAAAATCCAACCAAAGTTTTGGAGAAACATGTTGACTCCACCTTAATAATCGAGGAATAAGCCAAGTAGGAGACCAGCATGAAGCAGGAAGCAAGCTTAGCTTCTTATTATTTTGAAGATGAAGGTGACATGTTCCATCGAAATGTTGATTGATTTTTAGCGGACTATATAGCGTTATATCCAAGAAGACAGAACACTTTCATTTAATGAATATATGCAGAGGGATCATAGAGGTTTAAAACATCTTGTATTCTGAACTACTCCAAGTTTGTTTCTAAGAGCACAATGTCTGATATCATTCTTTTGCGAATATGGCGTTATGCTTTTTGTGGTAAATACTGCCTCATAACCAGGGCCCGGATTTTGATGACCTGAAAATATTTAAAAAATGACCTATAAAATGACCGAAAAAATCCAGAAAAATGACTTAAATATGACCCAAAAATGTAATATGCAGTATCAATATATCAGAAAAATGACCTGAAGGAGAAAAGAAAGAACACTTCGCTTCCATGTTATTCACATTTCAGAAAACATATGAAGAAAAATTCCCTAAAATGGCCAAAAATTACAAGAAATACCCTTAAAAGTCCAAAAATTTACCAAAAAATTACCCCCAAAATGAAAAAATGACATTAAAACTAAAAATTTCAAAAATGACAAAAAATTACCCATAAAATTTACATTTCTGTAACCAGCAGCTCATATCCGAGCTGTATATATTTAAGAGCATCACATAGGATATGAGGAGAGAAAGATGACTTGTCATCAAAATCCGGGCCCTTCTCATAACAAATACATGAAGTCTAGTGGATTATTTATAAGGTGATTACCTGAAATACACGAACATACAAACTAACGATAAATTCTAAAATGGCAAAGTACGAGATTCAAATCTCTCTTCTCCAAACTGAAGTATGTTTACCCCTTTACGCTTATGCTAATTTGTCACTTAAGTAATTGAAACCCATTCAAATTGCTGGTGTTGCAACAGAAGTGTTTTCACATCTTTTCCACATGACACTATTCATAACCTGTATTCTAATAAAAGAACTGTATCACAGATAAGCACCTGGACAAATGAGGTGCTAATGCGGAAAATTTTGTAACAAATTACCATCATCAGCACCTTATAAATTTTGAAGGTCAAACATTGACAAGTATCACCTTACGTCACTCACATGACATGCATACAGTGGCCGATTATAAGTGTTCTTAGTTCTAGGCTGTAGGTTATATTATAAATATAATGCAAGTCAAAGATTTCACCATTCAGATCATGCCCTGACCCACTGTCACATCTCATGCATAACTGACATTACATAATCATAGGCATGGAACATATACACACACATACAGTGTTGCATAATAAACATGCAAAAATATACATCAAGCAGAATGTAATTGCGATGTCTCTATACAGTACAGAATCACTCGCTTCGCATACCCTTTGAATTAGATTCGCTATAAAACTCTCTCTTCAGCTATGCAGCTATGGGTGTGAAACTTAGTCTCTGATATTAAGGGAAAATCCTGAGAACAGGGTACTCAGGAGAACATATGAACCAAACGGGGATGAAGCTATAAGAGGTTGGAGTAAACTGCATAATGGGGGGCTTTATAAATTATGCACTTCGACAAATATAATTAGACTTATAAAGTCAAGGGGGAATTGATAGGATGGACATGAAGCACGCATTGGGCCGAAGAGAATTGCATATAGGATTTTGGTGGGAAGCCAGAAAGAAATAGATCAATTGGAAGACATAAATGTAGGTGGAAGGATGATATTAAAATATAATATCTCAGGGAAATAGGATGCGATGTAAGGACTGGATTCATCTGGCTCAGGATAGGGATCAGTGGAGAGTTCCTGTTGACATGATAATGAACCTTCGGGTTGCATAAAATGTTGGGGAATTTTTGAGAAGCTGAGCTACTGGCGGCTTCTCAAGGACAGCTCCATTGAGGTAGTTAATTATCACTCCGTTAGTGCTCTATACTTATCTATCATTAGTTGATGAAACAAGCCGATCTGAGGCTGCAGTACGAAAGGGCTGCCTCACCCCGCGTCTAGCTAGCTAACTAACTAACCAAAT